TACTTAGCTGATGAAATCTACTTTCAAGTCCATATAAAAATAGAGTTTGACTGGAAAAGATTTGGTAGTAAGACTGTAGGTCCCTGGATTATAAATGTCAAGTGCTCATGAAACTTTTTTAACCTAAAACTGAGTTTTACCAAAATATTCACCATTTATAATAAATTAATATTTTGGAAAAATAATTTTTAGAGCAATATTTAGAACCCAATATGTGCACAGGGATGGGGAGAGGAAGCAGTTATAGGCAGAGGAACAGCTCATCTTGTGCTGTTTATTCATTGCCTTGAACTAAAAGCTCCATGCAATTAATTTATTGTTGGTCTTTGGGGCCTAATATGGGAGCTGGTATGCTGCCTTATTTGGGTCACTATTTGAAGCTGCTGATAAAACAAAAAGCTTTCTGATAAGAGATTTAATTTCAGAATGTAAAACCTAACATTAAAAATTTAATTATGGTATACAATTTGGCATCTAATTAGGCATGATCTAAAGTATATAATGATTCGGCTAAATAAGAGGCTTTCCAAAATACTGTTTGTAATAGCTTCTACATGATAATTTCCCCAGGAACTGAATACTTCACTAATTTACAAATGACTATTTAATATGTTGAGTAGTGCTTACTTCTTAGTTCCTGACTGATGGGTAGAATTACTCTTTAACTATTTGCAGTCTGTATTTTGTGCATGGCATTCTAGTTCACATTTCCCAGTTTTTACCATTAAATGGGATAAAGGTATTTATTTACAATAATCTAATCTAGGACAACCAATTTCTATTAGCACTTTTGTTATTAAAAGAATTCAGAACATATCATTTATTGTTTCATTTGTGTCGGGAAGAGAAACTGTGAGCTTTTCCTAAGTGTATTATCACAGGAAAGAATCAGTGATGCCACATCACTGATCCAGATCCTTTAAAATATGTCATTTATTACCATTATGTTTTTGTCACAGTTAGACAAAGGTGTCTTTTTAAGAGCTCTAGAAGATATGAACTAGAATATGACTCTCTTCCACGGAATAGGTCAACTCAACCAAATTTATTGATGAGCAAGCTCTAAATTTTTCAAAAGGACTGCTCACATTTTCTGTGAATATCTTTGTTTCTATTTACCGCCATGCTTTCCACAAACTTGAGCAAATCTTGTTACTTATTAAGTTGGCCTGCACAAAATCGGAGAAGAGCAAATGTTAATTACCTGCAACTCTCAGTCAGATCCTAGCTGAGATTCTGGGCACAGGCTCCCAGGGCAGACGCAGGCAGGCTGCACGGAGATCACCAACAGTGGCAGAGGGGCATTGCCCAGGCTGGGAGCTGTGGGTAGACTAACGCTGTGCATTAACTATTTTAGATGTCTTTTCCGTCTACTCTACCTAAAGTGCACTACCATCTCAGAAGACAAACAGTGAAAACCTTTGTGAAGACTGAATTCTAAGGACACAACCACAAGTAATGGCTTATTAAGCTGAAAATGTGACCTGGGGGGAGTCAGATATTAAGTTTGATTAGTTTACTACAGTTGTAAGAAAATGCTTCAGTCGTTTGAATAATAAGCATCATCCACATCATAATTCTGTACAACTGATGCTTTTATGAAATGGAGCCACTTGTTTTTTCATGTTTTATTGTAATATACTACGCATTTATGTATTACTGTGTATGTATTTCTTTTTAAATGTCTTATGTAAATGGATATAAATATGATTTTTAAAAAAATAAAATATATGGTTCATGGAGTCTCGAGTGCAAACATTTGACAATTCCAAGTACTGTTTGTATTTTACCATCCCACCATTTTTACAGTTTTTGAATTGTAACAGTCAAATCGATATGTTTCTCCTTCAAGTCTGTCAATACTTAAAGCTGAAAACCTGCCTCTGATCATGTAAAAAGGAATGATTTAACCTGGAACTGGAGCCAAAAATAGTCCTTTAAAGGCAATCAGGGATGTCCTAAATCTTTAGAAATAGCACTGTGATGGCTCGATCTCCTTTTCAATACAAAACAGAGCTAAACTGTTTACAAGAGTCGAAAGCAATTATTTAAAAAAATTTATAAGGAATAAATATTATCTTCTCTTGTTACCTGTGGACCAAGGAAAAAAAGAAAAAAAAAACTTCTTTACTAAGAACCACATGTTCATCAGATCTTGAACCGCCAGCCAGCACTGTTCAGTGAATGTCAACCGCTACGGAGTCTGAGGCTCATTTCCATTGAAAAAAAAAAACAAAACAAAATCCAGAAACCTTTCCCTTTTGTCAGTGTAACAGGGCATTAGTCAGACTCATGTATAATGTTATAAGCTTCTAGCCAAGATGGCCTTGTTGCGACTTCCCTGAAGTCAGTCTTATCAGAGGAAATAAATGAAAGACAGAATGATTAACATATATAGTGTATAAAAGTATAGAAGAGTAATCTCTTCCCTGTGGCTTTATTTGGTGGTGTTACTGTTGTTTATTCTTTGTTTATATGGGAGATTTCAAAGTAAAAACCTATTTAATAATACCATTTATCTAACTGCTGATTTTCTGCTGCTTGATCTTATGAAGCGCAAGACCTGTCATTAGTAATTTCCTTTTTGCATTTAATTTGCTATGTTTGCACGTACATTACATTTGTTTTGATGTCTGTTTTTGTTTAACAGATTCAGTCAAAAGGTAATGGTAACAGAAACCCTTTCCATTGTCAATAAAAAAAAAATACTTCCAGTTCTCTGTTTAATCTTTGTTTTCTAGTCACCTAATGTTTAACAATTTACTTGAACCACAATGCAAATTGTCCTTTTAGTGACTCTCAATCTAATATTTATCTTCATTAGTGAGTCTGCCACATGAGGGAGCTCTAAACTTGCTTATGAAGGTGATTTTAAATTTTCTAGAAATGTTGCCTGAGCAGAAACAATGGGAAAGAGCTTTCTAAGCTCATCTGATCATGGGGATCCTGACTTAAGGAAATGAAATGTAATATAGGAACTATGATATTATAATAACAAACGATTTGTATCTACTCTCAATACATGACTTAATCACATAATCAGTTTCTCCCCTTTAGAGATCATCTGGTAAGAAACAGTAATCGTTTATAATAGACTCTAACGTAGAGCGATAAAAAGATCTACCTGTTCCTTCAAAAAAAGTATAAAATACTCTTCAACGTATAATATAATTTCTGCCAGATTCTAAACTACATTTAATTTGGATTTAAGCTCAGAATCTCAATAGTTTTCCTTCTGGCCATCTATCAGCTTTATGAATTTTCACATTTGTAATGATGAGAGCCTGTTCTCAAATACAATTTTATATAAATAAAAGTGCTCTTGAAATGTAAAGCAGGTCTAATTTTTATATATTTAATGTATTGTCTTGAACAAAATAACTCAATTGGAAAACACTTTTCCATAGATTTTAAAAGAACATATTTAAATTTTTCCAATGTCTTACAGTAAAAATTTCCATGGAGATATCAGAAGAAGGCCTTGCGGACTTTATTTCAGCACATTTAAATGACTGTATTTTTAGTAACATTATATTGTTATTTTTAAAGATACATTTAATCCAGAATATTTTAAGTACAATCTAGTGAAAGTGCTTTATGGTAAGTATGAAATAGAAAATTCCTTTTCTTTTCCTCCCAAATTTTAGGCAATCGACGACTCAAGTATATCTTTCTTGCCCCACTTTTCATCAGTGAAAGTAACAGTACTTCTCCAGCCTCATGCACCGTTTTACAATCCCACTCAACTGGAAAATAACTCAAGCCTGATTGCTAATGTGCCCCTTCAGAATTGATTGCAGGACAAATGTGCAAGAGATCCCACAGATGTACCCTTCACACATGTCTTTGTTTACACCTTGCAAATGAATGATGATATGCATTGAGCTAAAGAATGTGCCATTTCAAATTAACTGAATCTTATCTGAAAAAATAAGGTAATACATTTTAAACATTAAAAATGTATTATTTGTTAAGATTACAGTTGTGATTATGAGTAAAATGTACCCAAGAGAAGACACTTTAAAGAACCCGGCAGCTTCAAATTATAAGTTGAATGTCTGTCTAGTTGGTTTAATTCAGGCTACTAGAAAAACTAAAGGGAACAGCTAGCTGATTATATTTTTTCAGGTATAAACAACCAAGAAGCCGATTTAAGCAAACAGGACTTTCCTTTGAGAAGCCATTTATTTATACAGCCTATGGTCCAAAAAAAAAGCTATCATTTTCAGAATGTCTTACACTGGTTTTAAGTAATTTTTATGAAACAAGTAAATAAGCTCTTACATGTTATCTCTCACATATATTTCGTGCCCAGACTATTACGTTAGGACAGCTACTCTTAAAAATAATGTTCCTGATGGGGACTGAAAGAATGGGAAATACTTCGAGCACCATCAAAGACTCAATGGGCATGGTATTTTTTTTTTACTTTAAATGTATTCTTTGATAACTGATATCAGGTAGAATCCTAAGTAATCCTAAATAAATCACATATTTAACTATATCAAGCTACTGTGGCTTTAACTGGCACATTATCATAAGCTTAGCAACAAAAACTCATTTTCAATTACTTTTCTTAACTTCTCAATACTTTTCTATAAGTTCAAATGGAAAGATGTGTTTGGAGGTCACAATATTATTTTTTAGTGAGTTATTATTTAAAAATTAGAGATTTCACATAAAAATCTGGATTTGGGGTTTCTTAAAAATTCCTGGTCTTTAGCATAATGTAAAAACTTTTACATTTCTTCCTTAAGAACTTTCCTTGTCAGTTTACCCCATTTCTGTGTCATTTGCTTGTTTTGATAGGAAGCTGGAATCATTAAGTGTACAGTCTACTAAGAACCTGAGACGGGAGGAGGAACTCCAAACAGCTCTCATCTCCATGACAAAGAGATCGGATTAAATGACCTCTAGGATCTGTCAGGCATGTGATTTCCCTTGACTAAAAATGGCCTGAAGGCAGAGCTGTACTCTGGTATCCAACCTTCCCTCAGGAAATGTATGACGAGACAGATCCTCCTATCTAGAAAATCATCTGTCTAGATGATTACCTCAGACCTCCCATGTTACCAATTTCATTTAAAATAACCGGGCATGGGGACATCTCAAGAATATTAGAAAATACTCAGAATTTCTGTTAAGAAAAATGATAAATATTTTCTGACTTCAACTTGAGTTTTAGGTTTTGGGTCAAAGCTACAGATTCCTCATTTCAGGAAGTAGCTCTATATTAATGTGTCTCTTTCAATTAAAATATTTGGGGGGTTCAATTTTTAAAAATCATACGGTAGATATATTTTTCTTAAAGTGCTAGACAACCTTTAAGGAGCCATGTTATAGGCAACTGAAAAAGGTGCTCTTTGGATCTAATCAAACAGAAGGCACAGGTCTTTCACTAGGCTTCAAGTACTGCTTTTTAGACCAAGCTTTACAATTCATATTTCAGTTTGCAAGTAATTTCTATTTAAATATTTATTTATGGGAAATAATTCCAAAAATTTGACTCCAATTAGAAAATTGATTCAAATTGACTCAAAATAGGGGAAAAAGTCATGATGACTGCTTCAGCACTTCTTCTATGTGCCCAAAAATGCTGGGGTCTTCGATTGTAGGTGTTATCTGGAAAGAAAATACGAGTCAGATGAATGCTCTTTCTTGAACCCTTTTCCCCCTCTCCCTATAATTAAACAATTACCTGCAATACTGCATTCTCCATTTTCTTATAAAGGCATATAGAAATGTTCAAAAAAGGGGACTCCAAATTTAATATTTTAAAAGTATATATAGTCTTCCAGAGTAATAAACTGTTCAGTTAGCAAAACTATAGGTCCTAAGTGGAATTTCTCTAGAATCCCTCTAATGAGCCTTTCTATGTGCCTCTCTAGAAATATATATATTTGTATTTACAACTACTATTTACTGCTGCATCACTTTGTTAGATCTTGAGGATTAAAGACATGTATATCTATGCACATATAAAGTGCACAAAAATTCAAAGAATATATGTACTTGAATTAGCCTAATGTTTGCCAAAATAATTTTCACTCAAAACAGGAGACATAATTAGCATATGCACCAGTTAGAACTGCTTAAGCATGTATAACCAGCCTCAATTGTTTGCTTTCTCATTCAGTAGTAGACATTGATGACTACAATGAAGGAAGTTGTGTCTTTAATTCAGTAAGATTGCGTTCCCACAAGTTGTTGGAATTTGACGTATTTACTAATAGTAAAAGTATTTCCACACACTGGTACCTATAATCTCGAAGCATATGGTGTTAATTAATCTGTGTTTCCACAACCCTCATTCCTAGAGAGTGGCTATGCAGTTTCCCTCTTAACATTAAAAAAATGTTAATGCCAAAGAAGTGGGGAAGAAACATTTCAGAACCTGGCATTAAACATTTTTGATAATTTACCTTATAGGGCTTGCCGTTGACAAGGGCAGACAGAGCCGACCGAGGAATTTTGCCAGACCTCGTTTTGGGTAACTGTTTGACAAACACTACATTTCGAAACGCAGCCACAGGGCCAATGCTCTGTCTCACATGGTTTATAATCTCTTCCAAAACTTGTTCCTCTGTTGTATTTATATCTAGGGAGAAAGTCCAGATGATAAGCACTGAATTAACCTTCGTTAATCATTCAGGGCCCAAACACTCAGGGAGGACAAAGATTTCTCACCTTTTCTCAACACACAGAGCGCTAAGGGTACGTGACCTTTCAAAGGATCTTCCTTGCCGACAACAGCACAGTCGGCCACAGTACCATGGGAAAGGACTGACTGTAAGAAGGAAAAGCATCCATTTAGAAAATATATGTGTACATATATAAGAATGTATATACACACACACGTATTTTTATATGTACTTCAATTGGGAAAAAAGTACATGTCAGAGAACCGAAAACCTAAAACCTATAGCTGTATGTGTGGAAATTACTGCTGATTCACAATTCCTACCATTCTAACTGGGGTGAGAGAATTGTTAGGACCCCCGTGGTAGTCACTCAGTAAAGGCTAACTATAATTAAGACAAACTGCTTTGCTTACCTGGAAAGTAAGGGAACTGTTTCTTTGTCTCGCTTGCTTATTAACGAAGTCGGGGCAAATATGCAGCAGATACCACATGGGAAAAAATTGCAGTGGGCATCCGAAAACAGATGACCTCATGGTGATTTGGCTTTAGGCGGGCTACCATAAGCAGACTCTCCAGAGAAATCCAAGGCAGCCCCATGACTAAACAGTGATTTTATTTCTGTGTCTGTTACTGAGCAATGAACAGAGCATTTCTTTTGTTGAGTGACCACCCATCCAGAGAGGATTTTCCGACTTGAAAGAAAAGGCTGGGCGTGGCATGAAGCCCTGACATCAGATAATCACTCCAGTCGAGGAATCATTTTCATACTGCTTACCTTGAGCTCTAAATATCTTAAAGAACAAAGCAGCTATCTATCTGGAATCACAAGAACCCATAGAGTAACCACATGAAATACAGAAGCTTAGGGTTAAAAAAGCATTTCTCCCGTGATGGTACTTTTAAAAATGATTGTTCAAAATATCCTCTTCTGAGAGAGTGATGGGTCTTTCAGTGACTGCAAATCTCTACTAGCTAGAGAAAACAGTGGGCAATATACCAACAGGTCGTTTGGCACTTCCCATTCTTTCAACCAACAGTTACTAAATCCTTCTCTGTTCCAGCCACTGCACTAGGCCCAGTGGTGAGCAAAAACAGGTGGAGCACCATCTCAGGCTGCTTACAGTCTAATGGATGAGGGCAATATTCATAAACAATCACGAGTACTTATTATTATGAATGTTTAAATATACAAGTGATAAGGGCTCTGGAGAGCTAGCCTGGTTTTTATATGAAAGCCATAGCAGAAGCAGCCAAAAAAACTTGGGTTTTTATAGGAAATATATGGCAAAAGCAGGAGGATAAATACCGGTCTCAGAGAAGCCTTCAGGAAATGACAATGAGTTCAAGTTTAGGTTTACAGGATGAGTAGTCACTGATTAGGCCAGATGGAGAGGCGGGGCAGAGCCCTGAGGAAGGACTTGGCACAAACCATTCAAACCTGAAAGAGATTAATATGGAGGGAAAGCAGAGAGCAAGACTTTCAGAAAGGAGCAAGAAGAGATGAATGTGCAGAGGTAGAGAGGGGCTGTGCTAAGGACTTCCAATTTGTTTTACTAACATTGGAAAGGCAGTAAAGCATTTTCGGGAGTTGAGGAGGAGAGACAAGATTTTTTTTAATAGACTTTATTTTTTAGAGTAGTTTTAGATTCACAGCGAAATTGAGTGGAAAGCACAGAGATTTGTCATATATGTCCTGCTTCCATATATGCACAGCCTCCCCCACTCTCAAAATCCCTCACCAGAGTGGTATATTTGTTAGAACTGATGAACTGGGCGCCTGGGTGGCTCAGTTGGTTAAGCGACTGCCTTCGGCTCAGGTCATGATCCTGGAGTCCTGGGATCGAGTCCCACATCGGGCTCCCTGCTCAGCAGGGAGTCTGCTTCTCCCTCTGACCCTCTTCCCTCTCGTGCTCTCTGTCTCTCATTCTCTCTCTCTCAAATAAATAAATAAAATCTTTAAAAAAAAAAAAGAACTGATGAACCAACATCAACACGTCATTCTCACCTTAGGCCATAGTTTACGTTAGAGTTCACACTTGGTGTTATACATTCTGTGGGTTTTATGATGTATGTCCACCATTATATTGCATTTCACAGAATAGTTTCCCTGCCCTAAAAAATCTCCTATGCTCTGCTTATTTATTCTTACTTCCTGCTAGCCCTTGGCAAACACTGATCTTCTCAGAGTCTCCAAAGTCCTTTTTCAGAATGCTGGAATCATATAGTATCTAGTCTTTTCAGTTTGGCTTCTTTTACTTCAGAGTGTATTTTGAAAAACAAATTTACTTTGGGTTCATTGTAGAGAACAAATAGAGGATTGTTTTAAGGGTGAGTATTACAGTTTGTTGAAATCGCCCATGAGGCTACCATAGTAGACCAAGGCTATGACAGTCGGTATGAAGATTCTAGAGTTTCTTTAGAGGTAAAATGAACACAATTTTATGGTAAATTGGATATGGGGCAAGAGGAAGGTAGAGAAGCTAAGGATGATTCTGTGCTTTTTGGCTTGAACAGCTGATTGGATAGTGGTGCCATTTTCTAAGCCAGAAAATACTAGTGAAGGCTAGGCTTGGAAGGAATGATCATATATTCAATCTTGGAGATGTTCCACAGAAGCACCTTGGAGATATCTGAGTCGAGGCAGTTGAATCTGATGGGAGTCTTAATCTGGAGATGCACATTTGAATGTCATTAAATGCAGAGAAGGTACTGAAAGCTATAGACATTGATTAGATCAGTGAGGGAGAAAGCAGTGAGAAGAGTGAGAGCTTTAAGGAACGCCACCATCTAATAGCTACATGAAAAAGGAGGAACTGCCAAACTAGACTAAAAAGGCACAACCAGAGAGAGAGGAGAAAAACCCACAGAATCTAGGACACTCCACTTTCAAGGCCCAAAGTTTCCGTGAATTCTTCTTTCTTTTAATGATGCCAAGTTGAAAATGAGCTGTCTCTTCTCTGAGGTCCTGGAAGACTCAGTGAACTACTGGCCTGTGCACTACCTCACACAGCCCCTAGTGAAACAGAGAAATCAACATCTCCTCTATCCTCTTGTTACCACCCACGTTGAAGGACTGAGTTGTAAGAGCTGCCATCCACATAGTTTTTGACTCTTATACTACTGAGGATAGTATATGTTAAATGATTTTTGTGCTGTACATTTTATTAACTTCATTGCTGAGATAGAGATATGCACCTCATCTTCCATTAATTGGGCCTCACTAAAAGGCTTCTGCAAAACACCAACTAAACAGGCCATACAACACCATCTCCTCCCAGTGCTTCAATTTGAACTCTCAAAGTGCTTTCAACAGCTTTCCCATTTATTAAGATTTTATTTACGGTTTAGGTCCATATGCTTAGAGACAAATATTTATTGCCAGAGATTTGTACTGGTAGTTAGTAAAGTCAGTCACAGTCTTTGGAAGAGAATATATTGTCTATAGCAGATAGAATATAAACTTGGTAGGCCCATTGCTCTGATTCCGATTTAGGATTCCCTTACTAAGTACAGAAAAAATTTTACCTGCCTAACCAGAGTTTTGATTGTCAAAAAAAAAAAAAAAATTTATTAAAGTTTTCACTGGTGCCATAAGCCTCTCTACCTTAGTTTTTAAAATGCCAATGTATCTGTTCAAATTACTATTAAAAAAAATTGATCATCCAGGTATTTTGTCACCTAACTGGTATAGTTTTAACTAAATCAAACACCAAATCTTGTAGTTTGCCCTTCTCTCACCTTATTGTTTTAATTTCGCCATGTTTCCATCCTCAGTGTTAGTATGTTTAGAAGTGGATGGGAAAATGCTGACTGCTTTTCCATATGGGCGGAGTATTTTAAATTCAAAAGTAATATATAACACAGTTTTCTACAATATCAAAGTTTCAGATTTTTTGTCTAGTTTGTGGACAAACTCTTAAAAATCTGTGAACAACATAATCATTTACCAGAATTTTATGTCATCTGTAAATGAGGTTCATTATTATAGTAGATAAAATATTAATCTATCAGCATTAAAATGATGTCATAAAGGGAGGGAGACAGCTTTCTATGTTGGCTCCACAAATAATATTTACATGCCAAATTATGATTTCAACAACTGAATTATTAAAAAGGAAAGCATCAAAGTATGTCTTGGCAACATTTAAGGGACAGAAGCCAAACAAATGTCCTATGGGGGTAAAAATATCAAAAGCCACTCTCGTATATGTCCTGCAGGTACAATCCATAAAGCATCCGTGATTAACTGACAGTTAAGAACTGAAAAAAATGATACAACTTGAGAGATAATTGTCTCACCAAAAGTGTGCAATGGTTCCAACTTATGACTTTTTGCCTTTAGGATGGTGTGAAAGCGATACATGTTCAGGAGAAACTATACATCAAATCTTGAATTTTGGTCTTTTCCCAGGCTAGCAGTATGCAGTACACAATCCTTTCTTGTGATACTGGGATGCTTCTTGTCTTATGGTATTATTTCTCTCGCATTTTTTTCTTATTTTGTAATATTCCAAACATCATTTATTCATAGTGGGTAGGGATGATCTGTAAATCTTCTTGTCCTTATATCTTGAAAATGTATTTATTTTGTCAAATTTGATTGATAGATTAACTATATGTAGAGTTATTATTTAAAATCCCTTCCCACTCAAATTTGATAGCATTTTCCAGTCTTTTAAAAAAATTTTTAATTTAAATTCAATTAATTAACATATAGTGTATTATTAGTTTCAGAGGTAGAGTTCAGTGATTCAACAGTCTCATATAACATCCAGTGCTCACTAAACCCCTTCCCTCCTTAATGTCCATCACCCAGTTACCCCATCCCCCAAGCCCCCTCCACTCCAGCAACCCTTCCTTTGTTTCCTATGATTAAGAGTTTATGATTATGGTTTGCCTCCCTCTCTGATTTCATCTTGTTTTATTTTTCCCTCCCTTCCCCTATGATCTTATGCTTTTGTTTCTTAAATTCCCCATATGAGAGAGATCATATGATAATTGTTTTTCTCTGACTGACTTATTTTGCTTATCCTCTAGGTCCATCTACATCGTTGCAAATGGCAAGATTTCATTTTTCTGATGGCTGAGTAGTATTCCACTGTGTGTGTGCGTGTGTGTGTATAGATAGATAGATAGATAGATAGAT